TGTGTGTGTGTGTGTGTGTGTATGTGTATAGTGTGTGTGTGTGTGTGTGTGTGTGTGTGTGCGCGCGTGTTTGTCTGTGTGTACATATTACCCCGTGCATCGAATCCCATTTTTAGGAAGGTGTTAAACTTATTGTTGCTCGGAAAACACCGAGGGTGACCTTTTTGAGAACGGGTATATTATAAGCTGCTTCAGTCAGTTCACATGGCAAGATTATTTTATATGACATTAAATGCATATGCATCACCTGTGGAGACTAGTGTGATAATTCACAAGTTTAAGAGTTTATAATTGGGTTAGTACCCTTGTATCATTTAAACAAAGTATAAATTTCAGTTCTGCTTTGAATTACTTGACATGCAACGAAGTTGATATCTATGAATGTTTGTTGGGCGGTTGTTTGCTAGTAAACACTTTTTATATTTATACACCAGATTTTATTAGTGCAGTAATTGTATTTTTTCTGAAAGCACTGGACTAATTTTAATTATGGACAAGGACACTAGCTTTTAAAAAGAGATTTATGGAAATTAGAAGTGATTGAAGGGAAGTACAAGTGGGTGGGAAGCATCCAATGATCAGTTCTAATGTTTAAAAAACTCACAAGATTTATATAAAACTTGGAGGAAATTCAGATAGATAGCAATGCCTGTCATGGTACTATTGGTTTCAGAAGCCAGGACATTTTCATATTTTTCTCCACTTGTAATTCACATAATTTGTGTCACACAGACTGTAGAAAAACAAGAGTGCAGTTTAGTGTCAGCAAGAATCACAGAAGTGCTACATGTATTGTCTGAATATTATTTAACTGCAATTTAGTAGTTCCTATATTGCTGTTCCCTCAACTTTGAGGAAAAACTTTCCAGTATTGTCACTTGCATTTGGTTCACCAAATTAGCAAGCTTCACCTTCCACACTCCTCAATACTGGATAGTGGTAAATGTCAGCTTCTTTCTACATGAAATACATATACAGTGTTATGCAGTAATATTTGATTATGTATTTCAGTATGAAGAATATTAACAAAACTTGTCTAAATAAGAACTCGAGTTGGAGGACCCTTATTCAAAATAGTTTAAGATCTTTGTCAAGAAATCATCCTTATTAGCTTTAAAAAAATTTCTGTGGTTTAGATACAAAGTGTTTTGTGCTCTAGCACTCTTAAAAATATTAAACCAAAGTTTTGTAACAATTTCATTGGATTTTTTTGTGGAGCATTCTTGTGATCTGATGGAGAGTAGCCACTGAGTTTTTAATCTTATTGTCCTATTGTAGCTTTTAAAATATATATATTTTTGTGTTAGATATGTGCAATATATTGATTAATATTGTTTAAAAATCAAGATTGTTATTTATCTGATGTGACAGTCAGATAACAACAAGTCAGATAACAATTCAGAAAGATAGCAGTGCCTGTCATGGTGCTATTGGTTTCACAAGCCTGGACATTTTCATATTTTTTTCCACTTGGAATTCACATAATTTGTGTCACACAGACTGTAGAAAAACAAGAATGCAGTTTACTGTCAGCAAGAATTCCAGAAGTGTTACTTGTATTGTCAATATTATTTAACTGCAATTTAGTATTTTGTAAATTTGGTGGAGTTTGCATGTTCTTCTCCCCCAGATCCAGAAATGTAGTTTGAGTGTATCTAAGTTGTGCTTATCTTAGCCGATACTGACAGGTAATATTTAAACTTTGATCAATACGAAAATTTAGTAGCATTTGAGACAGACATAACTACTGAATTAACTGACATGATTGCATTGGAAAATTAGACATATTGTATAGTAGAGCACTGTGGGATTTCACTTTCAATCCGATGAAGTAAGAGACCCATGCAAACTGCGTCTACAATGATAAAATTTACGGAGTGGAGGGATCTGTTGTATGTTCTTGCTGTTTTTAGCCTAACTACAAAGGCTTCCATTTCATTTAACAGTGGCTTCCAACTTGTCCAGCAGTGAATATGATTTGCTTTTAAAACCTGCAAGTTGGGCTTGTATAATATAGTATAGTCTCATTGTGTATAACTTGATTTAAATTTAAAAAAAATATTTTGATGATGGTTATGTAAAGCTAATAATTACTGTATATTGTATTTCTGTAATAAGAATATTAATATTCATAATGTAAATCTATAGTAATTGTATCATGCCGTTTTTTTTATTTTAAATGTTGGATTTGACACTTTGAGTGTTCATTTTGTTCGTGGTGTCGTGCACCACGAGGAACCCAGCACCCACTGCATCAGCATATGGTCTGACAGTGGGTCCTAGGATTTCATCCCGATACCTAATGGCAGTCAAGGTGCTGTTGTCTAGCCTGTAGGGGTCTGTGCGTCCCTCCATGGATATGCCTCCCCAGACCATCACTGACCCAACACCAAACCGGTCATGTTGAACAATGTCGCAGGCAGCATAATGTTCTCCACGGCTTCTCCAGACCCTTTTACGTCTGTCACATGTGCTCAGGGTGAACCTGCTCTCATTTGTAAAAAACGCAGAGTGCCAGTGGTGGACCTGCAAATTCTGGTATTCTATGGCAAATGCATGGTGTTGGCCAGTGAGCACAGGGCCCACTAGAGGATGTCGGGCCCTCAGGCCACCCTCATGAAGTCTGTTTCTGATTGTTTGGTCAGAGACATTCACACCAATGGCCTGTTGGAGATCATTTTATAGGGCTCTGGCAGTGCTCATCCTGTTCCTCCTTGCACAAAGGAGCAGATGCCGGTCCTGCTGATGGGATAAGGACCTTCTACGGCCCTGTCTAGCTGCCTGTCTCATGGAATCTCCTCCATGCCCTTGAGACTGTGCAGGGAGACACAAACCATCTGGCAATGGCACGTATTGATACGCCATCCTGGAGGAGTTGGGCTACCTGTGTAACCTCATGCTACTACTAGTAGATACACTGACCATAGTTAAATGCAAAACTAGTAAAAAAAAAAGTCATCAAAAAAATTAGGAGAAAAAATGTCAGTTGCCTCCACCTGTTAAACCATTCCTGTTTTGGGTTTTGTCTCATTGTTACCCCTCTAGTGCACCTGTTGTTAATTGAATTAACATCAAAGCAGCTGAAACTGATTAACAGCCCCCTCTGCTACTTAACCGACCAGGTTAATATCCCAGAAGTTTAATTGACTTGATGCTATACTCTGATTAAAAAGTGTATAAAGCCCTGGGGATTATTGACCGTGTGCCATGTGATCATGATTATATTGTGAGAGCCCTTGTGGTAGTTTTACCATTATGGGTGCTTTTCTTCTGCACCAGGTACCATACTTTTGATTAGAGAAGCACAGATCTGATATTCGGATCGGTATTGGCGCTGATCCAGACCTATTTGATGGATCGGGTATCGGCATGCTGGACCGATCCACGTCCTACACTTATTTAATTTTTGCCAATATCTAAAAAGATAGCTCATGTTTCGTGTTAAATCTGTTTGTATAATGAATCGCACGACAGCTCTTTCTCATTTTGCATGTGTTTTTTTTTGTGCCATTCAAATCGAACGCTTATGCTGCCCCTCAGTCTTCTTTGCTGTTCAGTGGGAGTGAGTACAGTGACTTCCGCCTGCTGTGACGTCATGCGCATACCCTTCGTGGTACGAGGAGCGTAAGATAAGATGTGACGATCTGGGAGTATTTTGCGCTTTCAACAGAAACCAGTAGCACAGCGATTTGCAATCTTTGTCAAATAAAATTTTGAGAGGTGGGAATAGCGTTTAATGGACAATCCCACTTAACAAAGCACACGCAACTGTGAGACAAAAAAAGCAATGGATGGTTTGGGAGTCGCTAACCTGGACTGTCTTGCGAACTCGCTGCAGTTTGTGATACAAGAGGGGCTGCCATCGCTAGGGATGGGTACCGAAACCCGGTACTTAATCGGTCCCAGTGCCTAATTATAAAAGACCGAAGTATCGATAAGCTCTGACGTTAACTGTTCTGCTGTCGGTACTGGAGAAATTAAAAAAATAAATTTCCTATTTATTATTGTTAAATAAACATTACCTAGCATATTTTACCTGACCAGCCTTTTGTAATTTGCGATAATATTCGTTATTCGCCTGCACTGCTGTTATTTGCAATCTCACGCACGAAATGTAGTCTGTTCCGCAGTACACAGAGCTTGCGCGCACACAACATGAGAGCTCGCGCTTATGGAGTGACGATGGTGGAGAGAGCCAAATGATCGAAAGTATGGTTACACTTCACCCGTGTGAACATGGACAATGCTCGTTGCAACAAGTTCAACAAGAACTTTACACAAGCAATTTATCAAAACATATAGCCAAAGTGCATTATGTGCAGATGGAGAAATGCAAAGTTTTCGAGTGCCTATAACTTCTACTTCATCATCCGCCTCCTCAGGAATGTATGCTATGTTAAAATAACGACATAAACATCACATAAGGTCTCTCTAAATCAGTATTATAATGCTAATAATTGAATAAATACACATTCAGTTACATATAGCCTACATATAGGCTAAATATTTAGAGTATTTTTTTAATGCAGTAGCCTAAATAAATATTAAACATTAA